GAGGCAGAAAATGAGGAGCTGATACCAAGGGCTCAAGTATAAAGTAAATGTTTTGAGAATGATGAGGGCAACAAATGTACAAATGTGCTTGACACGATGTATGTATGTATGGATTTTGATAAGAGTTGTACAAGCCCCAATAAGATGATTAAATAGTAATAAAAATAAATTTACATCGTATTTTTGAAGCTGTAAATCTTTAAGTGAACGGGTAGCTTCATCTTTCTTCCTCAGAGCAGCTGGTGTGCTTGAACTGCCGACCTTACTGTTAGCAGTTCAACACTTTCTTTACACTTCCAGTAGAACTCCTTATAATAACAAAAACAAATAAATGCTACCACTTTGAGTGGGTATAATTCTAAGCAAGAGAAGTGAAACACGTTTAAGTTAGCTTTGTTGGATAGGCTGTAACTCAATAGAGAAACGTGGTGAGGTGAACTGCTTCCCTAGAGATTTATAACCTCAGAAATTAGATATCAGTTTGATGGCAGTGCTCTTTGCGGGGTGGAGTGGAGTTTAACGTTTGTGATTGGGGTGAAAGTAGCTTAAGGCTGACTAACTGTATCTGTTCCCAGGATGTGGACCCCGGTGGTGCAATAGACTGCTAACCACAGAGTCAGCTGTTTGAAACCGCAGGAGAAAGATGAGGAAACGCCCCAGAGGCAGTGAGGAGGTAACTGATGCATTGCATGGTGAAAAAATGCCGCGCAAGACGTTAGAGTGTTGAAAAGCAAGGATGCCCCTCTGAGGATTGAGGTGCACTTGACCCAACCGTGGTATTTTCAATTGCTTCATATCCATGTGAACGCTGGGCTCTGAATGAGGATGACCGAAGAAGAAGGGATGCATTTGAATTATGGACTATTCAAAGTAGCATGGACGGCCAAGGAATAAGGACATCTGTCTTGGAAGAAGTACAGCCAGAACGCTCCTAAGAAGCAAGAATGGCAAGACTTCATCTCATGGACCTTGAACATGTTGTCAGGAGAGACCAGTCCCTGGAAAAGGACATCATGCTTGGTGAAGTTGAGGGTCAGCACAAAAGGAGACCCTCGACCAGATGCAATGGCACAGCGGCTGCAACAATAGGCTCAGTCATAACAGTGGTGTGGCTGGCGCAGGACGAGGTGATGCTTCACTCTGCTGTGCCCTGGGTCGCTCGGAGTCGGAACCAACCTGACAACACCTAACAGCATTATGTGCCAGCATTTTCAAGGAAGCCTAGCATTTCATTCACCTGGCTACCTCAGTGTCAGGATGTCCCCTTTTAACAGGAAGGACATGAAATGCAAACACATTAAGTAACGTGTTCAAGTTCGCTCAGCTGGTATAAATCTCGAAGGTGGTGTCCCTTCCACTGACACCTCATTAACTCTCAGTTCTATTCCAGAAATTTCTCTTTGTATATTCAGAATTGAAGCAGGCTTCTTCAATGGCAGGCAATGATTCCTATGAAAATGAAGGGGCCCCAATTCTATCTTACAAATCTGGCTGTACCAGAACATGTACACTGTACAGATAAGATCTCGCAACACAGGGGATGCAGAACAGATGAACCCTTCAGGAACAATAAGGGGAGCAGCGATACTAGGAGGGGAAGGGCAGGGGGAGGTAGAGCAAGGGGGAACCGATCACAATGATCGACGTATGGCCCCCATCCCAGGGGGACAGACAGCAGAAAAGTGGGTGAAATGAGACAGCAGTCAGTGTAAGACATGAAAAAAAAAAGAAGAATTTATAAATTATCAATGGGGATTGGGGGAGGGAGGGGGGGAGAAGGGGAGAGGAAATGAGGAGCTGATGCCAGTAGAAAGAAGATGTTCTGAAAAAGATGATGACAACATATGTACAGATGTGTTAAACAAAATGGATATATGTATGGATTGTGATAAGAGCTGTAAGAGCCCCCAATAAAATAAAATTTAAAAAGAAAAGAAAAAAGAGAATGACGGGACCCTTACCTCTATTCACATGAGGAGGAGGTGTTGCCTCAAGGACCTGCGCTCCCATTGCATGCAGTGGAACCTCAGACGTTGGGGAAGGATTGGCCCAAGACGGGATTGCAGTTGGAGGAACTCTGCTGCCGTAGTAAAGAGCACCTGTGTGGGAAAAGCAGCGCCTCTTAGTTTCCATTTCTCTGATCAAAGCTTATATTTGCAAGAACCTGTTTTATGCAGCTCCCAAACGTTCTCAGCTCAGGTGTGCTTCGATTTTGATGCCAGACTTGCAAGTCACAGCAGCAAAATAAGCAGAGCTGATACAGAACCCTCTGCCAATCTCTCAATTACACATGCTCGTCCATGGATGTGTGGCAAAAGAGCCACATTTGGTCTCATTGCGAGATGGATTCCAGGAAAAAGTTACTTTGTATGGATATAAACATGTAAATATATTTCAATTACTATTATTATCAAATATCAACTCGTTACAATTTTAATGACACTCAACCCAGAGGAAAATTTTGAACCCTCAGAATCTTGTGTTCACTCGATGTTGACAGCATTCACATCTCATTTGCGAGTCTATTTTTCTTGTGGCTGGAGCAGAGTGCTCAATGACAGACTTTCAAGCATAAAATTATCCTACGTTAATGATTGGGGGCGGGAGAGGGGAACCAAGCCCCACCCACTGCCAGTGAGTGGATTCTGACTCCTAGCACCGTGTTGGAGGGCTTCTGAGACTCTAAATCTTTACAGAGGGAGCCCTGGTGACGTAGGGGCCAGGCATTGCCCTGCTAACCCAGCTCTCTAAGACCACCGGCCGCTCCGTGGGAGACAGCCGCCGCTCAGAAACACACAGGGGCAGTTCTACCCGGTCCTCCAGGGTGGAGCTGAGTCAGCTTCAGCTCAATGGGAGTGAGCAATCTCTACGTGAGCAGACAGTCCATCTTTCTCCCTCAGTGCTGCTACTTGGGGTTAGCAGCCGCACACAGTGTGTGTGTGTGTGTGTGTGTGTGTGTGTAGGGGGAAGTGGAATGGGAAAGCTTGTTTGACTAGAAACCTAGACCAATGTCACATTTCCAGTGATTACAACAGAAGTGGTTCGTGTGTGTGTTTTTAAGTGGATGAATGGGAACATCAAATTAGGCTTTGAAGGCCCTAGAAGACATTGGAAATAATCAGGGAACAGTTTTATTTTAAAACGTGACTGTTTACAAGATGCCAGGCTCGGGGCTCTCGGCAAGTATTTCAGCAAGATGAAACATTTAATGTAATTTATTTATTTAAAATTTTAAAAATATGCCAAAGAAGTTTAATATGCTGCAATACAATACTCGCCTTGAAAAAGCTCATGGACTAGATGCTAATGTTAGTGAAATCCCTCTCACAAGTCCACTAGCTCCCTCTTCCACGTTTCAAAATCAAACCCCCGAATCCGAAAGGGCAAGGGACTCCTCCCTAGCTTGGATTTCCGTGGGGGACCCTCTCCCCATCACCAGAACGCAGTTTCCTTTAGGGAGAGGTGATCTATTTTCTTGCTTTGCTTCAACCTCCCTCAGGCTAAAACATTCTAAATACTGACTTCAAAATGCACGAGCGGACACATCCACAAACCCAACAATAAATTTAACTCCCTGCCGGCCAGGCGGTCAGAGAGAGCCCGGCCAGAGGGACAGGGTAGAGCTGCCCCTGGGGGGGGTTCTTTAACTCTTTAGAGGAGCAGTCACCTAGGGTTCTAAAATCCTTTTCTGGAATTTGTGAGCAAAACTATTTGATGACCAGAAAAGTGGGTGAAGGGAGATGTCAGAAGGCGCAAGCTATGACAAAATAATAATACTTTATAAATTATCAAGGGTTCGTGAGGGAGGGAGGAGGGGGGGATGATGATGGCAACACATGTACAAATGTGCTTGACACAATGGATGGATGGATGGATTGTGATACGAGTTGTACGAGCCCCCCATAAAATGATTAAAAAGAACAAACAAACAAAAACCGCTTGATGACCCAAACCAAAAACCATTCCCAAAGTCAAGTGACAGGGAGAGCAGAGGCCACAAGGGCTGGGGAGAAGCAGAGGCCCCGAGGTTTGCCCGAGAGGAAGGATGTTGTCCCGTCATATTTCTCCACCCGGCCGACACACGGACCTGAACAGCAGGCGTAATCGTGTGGCGGAGAGTCTGCCAGCATCCGCTCATCCCCGGCGTCATTCTCAATCACCATCGCAGTCAGCGGGGTCACGATATGATGCTCCAGGGACATCTGCAGGATTGTTCTCGTAATTTTCTTCTTGGCTACAGCGGTCGGAGCCAGGCTCCTGTAGTTGGGACATACACACATCTTGGTGGTTACTGCGCTCAGGATCCTGGTGGGCTAAAGGGAACAACTAATTGCCCTTAGGAAGCTGAGCCTAAGTATTTCCTCTAGGGCTGAGGTCCCAGGAGATGGCTGCTATTGCTTTCAAGTCAAGATTTCACATGCACAGTGATCACCTTTATGACTTTCAAAGATCCTCAGCGGGCTTCTGTGACAGGGGCTTCTGTGAAATAACTCTCATTGGAACCCACAGTTGATCCCGATGGCATTGATTTCTGCTGTGAGGGTCACTATACAACCCGATTTCCCCTCTCCATCTTAGTCCACACGATCCTCTCTATCTTCCCGAGAAGCAGATTTACTGCCATCAAACGGG